ATGAGCACAACAACATAGCTTGACAAAGATGGAGATAATTGTATTAAATCTATGCTATGTGCCTATAATTTATAATGTTTAATGCATGATTTGATAAATGCTTACTTTGATATGTGCAAAAATGAGATATCATGTTTGAATTTATAAACACTTTGCACAAATTAATCACCAAGCTACTTGATAGAATTTATCTTAACTTTGTTAAAAGCTTGGATTGATTAATTCACTTTGATTAATATTTATGCCTAGTTCTTGATTGCTTTGATCAATAGTTTTTATTGCATAAATATTCGTTTGAATCTTTGGACATAGATATGAGTTTAATAGATTGATTTCTTTGAACATGTTCATTGATTGAGTTCATTGAGATAGCATGTACCATATTGTGTTTAAAAGTTTGTATTTTTTTGGTATATTGTTATACATGTTTTGAAATGTTCTTGTATATATTTGTGTGATTTTGTTTGAAATAAATATATGTTTAATTACTTGCATATGCTTAGATTAATTACATTGCTATACATTGAAATAATTTGGATTATAGTTGAATAATTATGCTTTCATTATTTCTTTGCTATAACATATGTGCTCATCATGTTTGGAGAATCATGCTTATATAATCTTTGTTTTGACATGATGATAATTGAACTTCATTGCTCATTAGTACTTATGATTTATTATATACATATGAGCTTTTGGTTTTTGTTTGAACATGATAGCTTATGAAAGATTACTATTGTTATTTATGCATGTATTGAATGAATCTTTCATATGCTTGGAGATGTGTGCTCTACGAAAGTTGTTGAATAAAATTGTTAACAATTGATAACAATGGGTATCAAAAATTACTAAGGAATTTTTTTTTTAACTTTTATTGACACTTGTTTATGTGCCTATCCTTGATATAGCTTATACATTTCATGCAAAATTATGTGTGCCTTAAATTAATTAATCTTTTTTTAAAAAAAAAAGAAGAGAAATTTTAGAATACAATTTTGCTTGATTTGTTTTATGATAACAATTGGTATACTTTATCATTACATATCTTTAACAATTGGTATCCATAACAATTGGTATGAGCTTATATGCATGTACTTGAATTTATGCTTAATTGCTATTGATGTTTTAGGTTCTAAGCACATCTTATCCTAACATGATTTATGAGTAGATTGCATATCATTCATTATCCTTTGCTCATAAATTTCATGTAGTAAATTTGATGACTTGTGCTAAAATGCTAAAATTGGATACACTTATGCTTTTGTGCTTGAATACATGTATGTGAACTTCATTGTGCATAATTAAATTGATTACATGCATTCAAAATACTCTTGATATTATTGGTATCAAGCATTTTGTCCCATGCCTTGAATTAATCTCTTTTTCTTTTGAAATGACAAAAAGGGGGAGAGAGTTTAAAGATATTTCTTCTTGTATGTTTATTACAATTGATATAGGAGTTTAAACATTTGGTATAACCAGCATAAACAAAAAGGAAGAGAAATGTTTCATGAATATATTTGTTAATGATGCCTCTTTATGTTTATTTGCTCATTAATATGCTCATACATTTTTGCTATGACAAAATGGGAGAGAAATATCATATGGACAAATTTGCTTGTGCTTGACATGCATATGTTTGATTGTGCTTATTTGATATATTTAACTAACATATGTTTGTTGAGTTGTGTTAGATTAAGATGCATAAATTTATGGGGAGTTTTGCCATGTATTGCTTAAGGGGGAGTTTTTCAAAATGCTTTTCAAAATCTTAAATGTTTCAAAGAAAGTTTTTCATCAAGCAATTTTATCTTTAAGTTTTGTCATATAAAAAAGGAGGAGATTGTTAGCCTTGAATTGATCCTTATTTTGAAATGACAAAACATTAAGCTAAATAAGCTTGATCAAGATTTTGAAAAAGATTTATTTAGTACATGTTCTTAAGTTTATATTTTGGTACTAAATAAATAATATGATTTTTAAAGCTTAAACAAACCTTTCTTTATTTTCATATTTCTCAAACCAAATATATCTTTAAAGATTATTTATTTGAGATTAAATGAAAGTCCAATTGTTGTTTTAAAGTGAATTTATTCATTTTGGACTTAATACAATTTTAATAATATTGGTTTTGAGAAATAGATTATCTTAAGAAAGTTGTTTTACAATAACAAAGTTTTCCAACATTGAACTTGTTTTATTTTTCTGTATTAATTCACATAGTTATAATATTTAAATTTTATATGGTTGGCAAGCTCTTTAAGTCTACTTTCTAATGGATCAAACAAAATTAAAATCTAAATTTTCTAAGAAAGATTTTGAATTTTTAATAGACACTCTGCAATTGTCAAAAAAATTACACAATGGATAATTTTAAAAATTCACTATAATTTGCACTCGATGAATTAGGTGATGAATTTTGATAGAAAGTACTTTAAGTCTAGTTTCTAAATCTTCAAACGGTTTGTAATTTGGATTTGTATAACTCAAGATATGATCAAATTAGTAAGTAGAGTACAAAATAGGAGACTACCAACTAGCATAGATAGGATCGATCCCCTCTAGAAAGGATCAATTACTTTTTCAAACAGAATGCTTTCAAGACTAAAAATTCAGAAAAGGGATTGATGGAGGGATCGATCACCCCATTAACCAATCAATCCCTTACAAAAATGGATCGATCGGTTAGGCTGTTTTCAAGTGAAAAATGGTTCAAAACATGAACCCCTCAAACAAGAGATCGATTGGTTCTGGGTGCAAGCACACCAATGGCTACTTTTTCATGATTTCAACTGGAATTTCTTCACTCCAAGTTTCCCCAACGGCTACTTCTTCAATTTTTTTATAAATTGGGCACTCCAATACACCAAGAAGATTGATGAATCAAGAGAGCAAGAGTCAATAAGTCAAATTTTCATTCTCTCAAAGAATCAAGAGTTTTTGAAGCTTCAAAGTCCATATCTTTTTATTTATTGTATCCAAATTATATTTGTTGTTCATTCATTATTTTTTTATACTTAAACTTAGCAAACACTTAGTCTTAGAGAGGTTGTTCAATTGTTTGCAAAATTATCTTTGATATACAAGCGTGGAAGAGAATAAGAGGTGAGGTATCCTCTTGATATTGTAAGGGTAGAGGTTGCTATATAAGCCTTGAGAAAAAAATAGAGATTTAGTAGAAGATAGGCTTGTATCTTGTAAAAATTTTCTTCAATTAGTGGATTGAAGCCTTGGTGTGGACAACCAAGAGAGAGGACATAGGTGCCTTGTGGAAAAGGACAGAACCTTTATAAATCATTGTGTTTGATTTCTCTATCCCTATCTTTTTACAATTTATTGTTGTTTATATTTGATTTTAGGTTTATTAATTGTTATTGTTAGTATTATATTTTCATCAAAAGTGCTTATTGTTTTAATTTCCATTCAATTATATTAAAATCATTTTTTTGGGAAGAATTTGGAGAAATCCAATTCACCCCCAATCTTGGATCACCATCTCACCTATAAAGTTAACATTATAGGATGCAAAAATAAGAATAATAATTTCACAATAAAAACATTTTTCATAAATAATTTTTGAAAATAATTTTAAATATAAATAAGAACATACCATCAAAATAATATATACTTAATTGCTATCGTTCTTTGAACAGTTGACGCGAGAGTACTAATACCTTCTAGGAGTGAGAAAAAATTAAAAAATTAAAAAATCAATTCGAAATCATAGTGCTCGATTCAGATCAAGTTTGGATATTAAATATATATATATATATATATATTAAGTTCAAATTGAATTTCGGAACGAGAGGTGAAAAATAAAAAAAAAATCAATCGAACCAAGTTATATATTTTTCTTAGTTTTTATATATTTTTTAAATTTTTATAAAATAAAAATAATAATTTTATATCAAAATCTACTTAAGCATATTAAAATTTTATATTAAAATAATATATAAAAATTGAAAAATTAAAAACTGATACAACGAACTGAATTGAATAGATAAAATTTGGTTTGGATCGAATGAATGATCGATTTAGATTTAAATCGGATTTTAAAATTTCACAATATTATGTAATATTTAAAAAATTCAAGCTAAATCCGATCCAAACCGAACCTCTATCACCTCTAATACTTTCATCTCTTACACGTAATCGTAATTACAAATCTAATTTTGATTTCGTAAATCAAAACATTTTCTTGTAAATCTTAATTTTAAGATTTTTATCGAAAGATGTTTTAGTTGATCAATTACACCCATTAAAAAAAAATTTTGAAGGCGACTTTGTAAATTTTTATCAAGTGTAGTGATCGAATCTCTAAATGAAAAATTATTATGACAAAAATAAAAAATAAAAAGTCAAGATACAAGGAACAAAGCCAACCATCAAATGTGACAAATAATATACCCCTTTACTATTTTATAAAAATTAAAATATAACTTAAAAACGGCTGTCAAACTTAAAACTTATAAAAACTTGAGAAAATAAGACTACTTAGTGTATCATTCTTATAATTTCTACTAACCTCATTAGTGAATTTAAGAATTTTACAAACAATAAATGAGATAATTTATATATATATATATGTGTGTGTGTGTGTATGTTTTTTTTTTTTTTTATAAGAATAAAGTTCTACAATCGCTTCAGTCAAATTAAAGTTTCTATAATTTTAAACCTAAGATATATATATATATATATATGTATGTGTGTGTGTTTCATTATTAGCACTACTTAACATTTCTTGTTTAGTGCCTTTAACATAACAAATATTTATTTTTCAGATCTCTCATTGGATATTTAGTTAGCGTTTGTTTGTAAACCATACTCCTTCGAATTAGTATTGATTAGTGCGAATATTAAATAATGTGAAAATTAATTCATTTTTTCATGTAAATATATTAAGTACCATGTTTGGTGTCTTATACCAACGTTTTTGTCTTAGTTATTTCAGATTAAAAAAAAAAAGGAAGAAAGGAAATGGGTTGATAAATGTAAACGGCCCAAATCCAATTAATAGAATTTCGCCCCACCTGCCGTTGTAGACTTGGTCTTCTAAAAGAAAATTCATAAGAAAAATCATAATAAATAGAAGAAAAAGAGTGAAGCCAGCTTTAAACAAGTGATGGAAGGTGAGGAATTCGCAGTGGGTTGCTTCCTTTCAATCAAGACAACTTTGGGTGACGAATTCGAAGCCCAAATCATCAGTTTCGACACCCTTTCCAACATCCTCGTACTTAAAGAGAAATCAGGTCCCAGATGGAACATTCGGCTGCTGAAGGCTAATTACATTAAGGAGTTCTCTTTATTGCGTCAAGGTGAAGATCCACTTGATGTCAACAAATGTTTTTTAGACCTTACTAGTCTTCAAGCAAGGGAAGAATCTGCTCTTAGGTAATTGATTTTATAATTAATTTCTCTAAAAAAAGGATATCTAGGATTTTTGTCTTATTGAATTTCGTTGAGGTGATAGTTTTTTTCTTTTTTTTAAGTTTTTTTTTTTTTGCTTGCAGGCAAGCAGATGCCGATTCTGAGAGGTTTGGAGTTGGTGTTACCAGTGAGGCACAGATTCTTTTTGATGCTTTGTCTAAAACGTATGTTCATTTCTTCTTTTCTTTCCCCAGTAATCAGTAATTGTATTATCTTATCTATGTCTAGGTTTTGAATTTAAGAGCAAACTCGCCTACTTTGGCGAAACTTTTAAGGGATTATTGTTTTTATTATAGTTTTTTTTTTTTTTCATAAGTATGCGGATAGGAAATTGACTCTACTGTCTTGGGAATGTATCTTACATTTTTTGAACATCTTGAAAGCATAACACTGGCTACTTGTTAGGGATAAAGGTTATCCTGTTAAAGATGAAGGTTGTAAAAAATGAGCGGGGAGACGGAAAAATGGTCAAATTTGTGGGACAGGAGTGTAGAAAGAGAACCAATTTCGAGTGAGAATAAAAGCAAGATGAAGGCTTTTTAATGCAGGATGTTAGAACTTATTATGTGATAATCTGCCATAGTATTCACTTGCATAAACGATAAATGTTATTCTGACAGAAAGTATTGTGTTAAGTACCTTGAAGAAGAGATGAATGCTAATAGATTATGATGTAGTGACTTCACAGTTCATTACTGTAACTAGAGAGGGATTTTGTATTTGACATCTAAATGCATAAAGGAAACAGCAATAGTTAAATAAGGCTTTGTACTTTTAGGGTTTTAGTAATGTTTTGAATGTTATTAAGATGCCTCTAGTTGATGAATAACTAAGATTGTACTAAAATTATTATAATTGTTTAGTGCAACTTAGCTAAGTTGGGGCCATTGTTATTATTGCTTAGGTAAAGGGAAGACATTTTCAAATGGCTTTTGTTGTAAATAGGAAAAAAGAAAATAAAGGAAGAAAGTGAAAAACAAAAGGGGGACAGGGCTGGGATTGTTGGGGGAGGGTTGGGGAGGAAGGCATAAGAGAGAAATAGAGGAGGAATTGGGAGCCTGGGGTAGGTGAAGAGCATCAGGATGCATGAATAGGTTTTGAGATCTTGTCATAATCACAATGCATGAAATTGACTAACCCAAAAGCCAACCTTTGATAATTACAAAACCGTCAGTATATCTAATTCTAAATGAGCGAGGATTGTGTAAGATCTGCTTTTGTTCTTTTTTTTTTCCTCAATAATGAGTCAATGACCTGGGTTTAGAGGTATCTGATTTTTCCCCCTTTCATTCTCCCAAAATTACTGCAGTTAAGATTCGTTCTGGATCTTTGCTTATGGACTGAATATCTGGGGGACTAATTTTTGTTTCTATGGGCTTCCTTGAAGTTTGTTAGGGTATTGCTCAGAACAATTATGTTGAAACCTTACAATTTTTACATTAACACCAATGCATATGATCAGGCTTCCTGTGCATTGGGACAAAACTGTCATTGTTGTAATGAATGACGTGCGTGTAAGCAGTCCATATCTTCCCGAGTCTGTTAGTGGAGGAACTCCTGCAGCCAACGAACGGGTGAAGAAAGTGGTAATACGCTCAAAAGGATCTCGCATGTCTTTTTTTTCTGATAATATGATTATTATAACATTTATTTATGTTAATTTTCTTTTTCAGCTGGAGTTTGAAAGGAAGAGGATGCAAACTTGTGGTACTAGTCTGTGATGAACTCACATTTGAGTTGTACAAAGGTTGGAGAACCCAAAAAAGTGCTATGATTGGTATATTATGGTAGTTATCTGACCTCACATTTTCAAATTTTATTTGAAAGAATTTAAACAAATACCTGATACTGATTTGTTTGTTCTGATATCATGCTACCTCTACCTTTTTTAGATTGGCTTGTTGGTAATGAAGCCAGTACAAAGAGAGGCAAGTTGGTTATTCTTTGGATTTATTGGCAAGTTTGCTTATAATCTATCCATACTTTCTTTTTTTTTCGTTTCTACCCATTGTGAAGATGAATGCTACAGGAAGGAAGATGAAAGTGGTACGGCGAAAGGAGATAAAAATGAATGCTACAAGGAATGAGATAAAAAAATAGTACGGAGTAAACTGATAAGTGGTGAAATAGTTTATTTTCTTATGACTGTAATAATTCAGTGGATTGATACAGTTGATTCGATTCTGAAAATTTCTCCTGAATTTGATTTGGTCAATGAATGTCGATAATTTAAATCCAATTCAAATTAATTCGTATATGGAATGATGCACGATTGATTGGATTTTAAATTTAATATTTTATCCTCAAACTTTGATTCTATAATTTCTCTTTATGAGAGCATTTTCAGTAAACGCATGGGCCCTCATGGATATGATAGAGAATCTCCAATAAGTCATACAAAGGTTAAAAGTAAAAAGTTTCGGAATTATAATTAAAAAATATTTAATTTTTTATTTTTTATTGTAGTCAGTTAATTTCTTGAATATTTATTTATATTTAATTAATTTTTTATTTGGATGAAAAAATTAATATCATTAATTTTTTTAATTAAAATAAAATTTTATATGATATTAATAAAATATATAAAAATGTCACATTATGTAATTAATGAATATAAAAATAAAATAATAAAAAATAATTTTTCTTTTTTTTTTGACAGTTTTTTTAAGTGTTCAATTATTATGGTTTGAAAATTATTTGAATTAAATATTTTATTGAATTATAATTTCAGAGTATTTTTAACCTTTCAATCTCATTCTAACAGCTAAACAGGGGAAACACCTTCACGTTGCATGCCAGGGTTCTTGGATGTTAGAAACAAGACTTGTCATTAACGGCAACCATGACCATTCGTAAACCAACCAATTTGCTTTTAATAGCTTTGATTCATATTGCATAAACATATACAAATCTGAAGACAACTTTCTTTAATCAAATCTGAAAGATAAACAACACTTCAAACTGTCAATTGGAGCTATGATCATTAGTCAGAATGTAGACTTCACTCTGAAGGATGGAACCAACCTATTTACTTGCATCATTAGGTCATAGAAAGTAGTTAGATTTCGACCCCAATTGTAATATGACCATTTTTTAAAATAAAAATATTGAGAAAAGCATAAAAATTTTATATTTTTTTGTGGAAATAAAATACTACTCTATGTAGTAATATTCTATTATAACATTTTTTAAATTTTCTTTTAATTCAAGATTAAAAAGAAATACTCCTATATTATTCATCTAAACATACCATTAATCATAACTAATGACTTCTTATTAAAAGAAAATCATCAACAGCAACTCATAATAATGATATATAAAGAATTATCATATAATGGTGAAAATTTTAAACTCTACAAACAAAGTTACAATATCAAAACATGTTTTTATTAGGTATATTATGAAATTAATAAATTATTATAATAATTAAATAAATACATAGCATTAGTTTGATCTGGCTTTTCGAGTTTAAAAACTCTACTGTTGGTGTACAAAATAATAATCTAATAATGCTAAATTTATTTTTTTCTTTTAACATTAAAAAATGAAAACCATAAATAAATTTTTTAAAAGTTTTACTATAAAATGTATTAAAATCAATGAATTTTCTTAAACTCTGAAAATCAAACAAAGATAAATTCATTAGAGACAAAGAAGAAGGTTCTAGAATTTTGAGGTTTTAAATTCAAATCTAATTGTATGTGAGTTGGGTTATTTAATTATATTATAATTTATTAGTTGATTATTTAACACTTATAATTTGATTATAATATAATAATTAATTTTTTAATAAATATTATACTTAATTATTAGTGTAATTTCAAAAAGGAAATTACCCATTTATTTTGTATTCCTATATTGCAAGTATAAAATAGGGGGTACTTTTGTAATCCAAATTGAAGAACAATAATGGTCAAATAAGTAGCCTATAGAGAACATTAATATGATCTATTGACTAGGGAGGTATGATTGCATTTGCATTCTTCTTCATCTGCTTCTTTTTGTTATGCTTCTTTTTGGAGATTAATGAGTGAATTTGTTTCTTTTCAACGAATTAAAGAAGCTTCGGTCATTTATAGGTTTTATTTATAACTAGAAATTACTAGAAGTGAATAAACCATTAACTAAATCCTTAGAAATGAACAAAGAAACAAAAATACTCAAATGGGGATTGAAAAGGGGAAAACGTGTATTGTCATGAAGGGTGTTTTTTGGCATTTGATTCAGTTGGGCGGGACAGGTAGGAGAGGGGAAAGATTAAGAACGACCTTGTATTTCTCCAATTCCCACTTTCTTTATCTAAAGTTGGTCAATTTGTTTATTTATTATTGGTTCATGAGTCTTTTAACTATTTGAGTACGGTTTGCGTCTCGGAGAAGGTGATGGGGGGCAGGGGAATAAAAGCTTTTTGATGTCTTTCTCAAGTGTTGAGTAGGGATACGCAGCAAATAGCAAGTGGCGAGCAACTGAAGCACACGGCATAAACATCGCAATCAATGAAGCCAAAACCAATCAAATCCCATCAAGAGATACGCACTGTTGTTTTAAGTAAAATTAAATTATTGTTCTTTACTCCATTATTTCAATGATTATGCTCAGAATTTGATAGTGGTAATTACTTTGATAGATCCCTCTTCCCCACACACAAAAATCCCAAAATATTTGTGGGTCTCAGCCCTTTCTCAATGCAATGCCATGAGAAAACGCCTATTCTGTTCATCAATTGTTGGTTCTCATCTTTGGGATCTTGCTCTTGCTCTTGCATTGCATTTTTTTGTTCAATACTGATAAATGATGTTTGTTAGTTGATTTGCACTTCCTTGTTTTCCTTGGTGGTGGTTCCATTGCCATGGCCCAAAAATTAGTCATCAGAAAAGAAATTGGGAGGAAATATACCCATGTTTAGATGTAAACTATGAAAACCTTTCATGTGATTGCAATTATTTAGCTATGACTAGTGTTATATATTTTCGATTACTAGCACTATTGTAGTTCAATTGTCTGATTGCCTAACCCATCACATCTTTGATTTTGGGTTCATCTGTTTATACATTTTTTTAATATTTTATAGAATGTATCATGTATTTATAATACTTTTATAGTAAATCATATTATATTAAATACCCCTTGAAGTTTAGAGTATCAATTGGTGTCAGATGTCAGAGTATCTCTGTCATGCTGCAAAACAATTTCTAAAGAGTTTTTAATAAAAAAGAGAAGATATATGAATGGGCGACCACCACACATAGGCTGCCAAAAAAGTAGTACGCAGCAAAAGAATTGACAGCTCAAACTTCAAAATATTTTCCAAGTATTTATTAAATTTAAACGCCTGTGAAACTAGCAAATAATAACAGGAGTGACTCAGGTAAAAAGGAGATTAAACGCCATTCCCAGAAGATAATAAATAGTGGCAAGCATATGATGAAGTACTGAAAAATGGTGTCAAACAAAACTCGTCCATGCAGGCAATGTAAGCAACAGCTAAGTCCCAGCCAAGGCAGCTAAGTGTCATGTAACAATCTCTGTTGCAAAATGACGCGCATTGAGACAGGGCGGGGTTTTTTTTGAGTGTTTAACAATACCCAAAAAGAAAAGGACTGTCAGAATTCAGCACCTTCAGAGAAAAACACTGCAACCAAATTAACACTAATAATAATATAATAATTAAAAAAACCTTCTCCAATCACCCATAGGCCATAGCTATATTCAGAGCAAAACTGTTACAACTGGAGAGGGTGCAAAAAGCATGACACATGCCAGCCTTGAGTTTCTTCATTGATGTGAGAAAAGAGAGTTGTTCTTCTTTACTGGTCAGAAGAGCTTTATTCATTTTGATTTTCTTCGAATTAAAACTACTTTTCTTTTCTTTTGTTTGCTGTAATTAGCGGAAAAATTAATAATGACTTTGTTAAAGGTGACGGTGGAGATGCTTTTATCAGGCACTACAAGGCTTTATCTTTACGTGATTGAAGAAAAAGAGACTGTATATAGACCCATGATAAAAAAAATTAAAATAAATGTTAGAAAATAAAAAAGAAATCAATGCAAAGAGAGATTCCTTTGGATTACACACCAGAGGAATTTTTCTCCTTTTTTCCTCCTCACACTTCATCGTTCTCACCGTCTCTCACTCTCTTTATGATTCTCTTTCCCCAAGTAGGTCTCGTTTCATCGGTGTAAAAACAATACCTTTGGCCTAAGCTTACCCCCCCCCCCCCCCCCAATTGAATACTTAATTACTTCTGGCATTTCTTTTTTGTGTTATGACGCCTTTTTTTTTCAGAGAAAAGAGTGGTAGACTTCTTTCACTGTTAATGCTTATCTTCTCGTAACTCCTTTTTCTTGTTCTTTTTCTCTGTCATTTCAGTGTGGTTTGACACCACCTTTCTTGGTTTCTCACAGTTAATACAACTTCCAAAGCAGGGGATTTTAGCTTTTCACTTGGCTCTTTGCGGGATTTTGGTATCAGCTGGGTTTTACTTGTTTTTTGTGTTTTGTGGTTGGTTTTGAATGATTTTTACTTTGGAATTACTTTTGGCGATTTGGGTCTTGTTTTTAGCGTGAGGGTTAGATAAAGTTTTGGTTTTTATAGAAGGTTTGAAGTAGGGGAAAGAAAAGAAAAATGGCAGGAGGAGGAGGGGGAGGACCTGCACCACCACCAAAACAAGAAGAGTTACAGCCGCATCCAGTCAGGGATCAGCTACCTAACATTGCCTATTGCATTACTAGTCCTCCTCCTTGGCGTGAGTTTTTCTCATTTAAAATTCTTCTCCCGGTTCTTCGTTGTTGAGCTTGTTATTGGTTGTTTTGTTTTATAATGTACTTTTCTATCCTTGGTTCCGTTTTTCATGGCATATTTCAGTAGTTCTTGGTAGAAACTGACCCCCATTTGTGCATTTCCCTGTTTTCACCCTTTCTTCAAGGTTTTCTTTTTGCTTAATTTCCATGTGATGGTTATGCTATTAATCCTATACTCTATTACTACTATCTTTTTCAATGATTTGTGAAAAACCTCGTCAACTTTCTAATTTTTCTATATAAAAAATGATAATCCTCATTTGGTTATTATATTGCTGATACATTCATGTCTTGTATTCGAATTAAAACTTGTGTTCTGTCTGTAACATAACTGTATGTGGGTTTGTCTCTCATTGCAGCTGAGGCTATATTATTGGGTTTTCAACATTACTTGGTGATGCTTGGGACAACTGTTCTCATACCAACCTCTCTAGTTCCCCAGATGGGAGGTGGAAATGTATGTTTTCACAAAGATTGTAGCAGTCAATTAGTTTTCTTTATGCTTTTTGTTTCTTTTGTCTCAAATTATTTATGTGCTTCCCCCTTATGTACAATTCTTTGCATTAGGAAGAGAAGGCACAGATGATTCAAACATTGCTATTTGTGGCTGGGGTAAATACATTGTTTCAGACATTATTTGGTACCCGTCTACCTGCAGTCATCGGAGGTTCCTATACCTATGTGCCAACGACCATTTCTATTATTTTGGCCAGCCGGTATAGTGACATTGTGAATCCTCAGGAGGTTGCTTCACTAAGACCCTACATTTTTTATTCGGTCTTATTATATATGTACTATAAACCCTGAAATCTGAATTGGATTGATGCTTTATTGAATATGCAGAAATTTGAGAAGATAATGCGAGCAATCCAGGGTGCCCTTATTGTTGCCTCAACTCTTCAGATTGTTGTTGGATTTAGTGGCCTTTGGCGTAATGTTGCTAGGTAAGTTAAGGCCTTTCTATGTTCTAAGCATCTCCATTTTTTCTGGTTTGTTGTGCTACTCTTCAATAAGAAAGAAGGTTTTGTATGATGATGTTGGTTAAATAATCTTTAATTAGCACTTTTTTGTGCTTGTTTAGTTATGCTTATCTGGTTGAATGTTAGATGCAAGTTACTATAAGACTGCTCTATTTAGTTGGCATGTTCAATTTATTGTAAAACCCCACCAAATTTGGTCCCCAAACCCAGTTAAAAGGGTGTTTGATTGGAGATTAATTATAGTTTCCTTTAAAGCTCCCTTAAATTTGTTCTGCTAGTTTTTATACCTTTCAATGCTTTTCCAGGTTCTTAAGTCCTCTGTCTGCCGTTCCCCTGGTTGCTCTGTCTGGCTTTGGACTCTATGAATTCGGTTTTCCCGTGGTATGTATCAACATCTTCTATTGGGAAGAACATGGCATTATAAAATTTCTCCACCTTTATTATTCATTTTCTTTTTCTTAAGTCTGGCCATTTCTTTTGTAGCTTGCCAAATGCATAGAGATTGGGCTACCACTGATCATCCTTCTCTTAATATTTTCACAGGTAATTTAGATTTTCCATTGACAGATACCGTCTTTCTTTTTGCAGCAGTAGTGACACTAAAGAGTGGTCAATACTTGACCTCACAAGAAAATTTTGTTGTTAGTAACAATCACCTTGATGAGTTTTTGCAGTATATACCTCATATTATACATGGGGAGCGGCATGTGTTTGATCGCTTTGCTGTCATATTCTCAGTTGTGATTGTCTGGATTTATGCTCACCTGCTCACTGTTGGTGGGGCATACAAGAACACAGGACCTAAAACTCAAATAAGCTGCCGAACCGATCGAGCTGGGATTATAGGTGCTGCTCCTTGGTAAGGCTCTTTTGTTTCTTCCTTCACAAGGCAATATGATCTTATGGTGATATGGACCCTAGCAGTTATGAAATGTCCTAAAATTTTACCTTTTGTCCAAAAAACATTCCCTTAAAGTTGTTGCAGCTTCAATGCTTAAATTATTTTCATTATCTGAGGTATCTATTATTCTTGTGATGGGATACTTGAAGTTTTTTGTTTTGCTGTGTATAAGAATGAGAATGCACATTTAATTGATTATTGCTCGTTGTTATTGTACAACACTTTGTGAACAGGATAAGAGTTCCATATCCTTTTCAATGGGGAGCTCCGTCATTTGATGCTGGGGAAGCTTTTGCTATGATGGCAGCTTCATTTGTTGCTCTAGTAGAGGTTTACTTCTTGTGTTTATAATCTTGATATCCGTTTTGAAAATTTTTGCTAATCATGTGTATTTAGTGTCTAGAACACTTACGGCATACGGTTACAGTTTGTAAAGTAAATAATCTAGGATAATTTAATTGATTGTACTAAAAACTCTCTTCTAGGCACAAATCTGGATTTCCCTTGCTCATAACCCTATCCTTAACACCATTGGAAAGGATATAACTTAAGGCAATGTTTGGTGTATAAGATGATATTGTCTGCCAAATTTGAAAGATTTCATTTTCTTAGCCATTGCAACCTTGCTTATAATTGGGACATATTCATTGCTCTAATCTTCTAATGATTAACCAGTCTACCGGTGCCTTCCTTGCCGTTTCAAGATATGCAAGTGCGACTCCGCTGCCCCCTTCCATTCTTAGCCGAGGTATTGGTTGGCAGGTAAAATGTTTTATAATTGATTAGTACATGCATATATCTAGTAAAAAACAAATTGATAAATTTATGTGTAAATTGCCTTAATCAATTTGCTTGGACATCTAAACATATTAAGTATGGTTGATCAATGCCCGGGGTCCAAGCTTCATGAAATGACTTTTATATGGCCCTAAATCTGTAGTTTACTGATATGCTTGGTCTGAAGGATATCAATAGATAAGCTATGCCTAAAGTTCTTAAAATCTAATTGTAACTGTACTTCTCAGTTTCATTTGATGCCGTTTTTACATTTTCTCTGCAATTCCCCTTTTAATTTTGTCTTGTTTTGCTTCAACCATAGGGTGTTGGCATTCTCTTTTCTGGGATATTTGGAACTGGAAATGGATCATCTGTTTCCGTGTAAGATTCTTTTGTGAAATTAGCTGCATGCAAGACAATAATATTTCTTTATCAATGTTTTATCCTTTTTTTTCCCCGAAAATGAGAGAAGCCATTTACACCTTCCCTGCATTTGATGTAGTGAGAACGCTGGTTTGTTGGCACTGACACGAGTTGGCAGTCGAAGAGTTGTCCAGATATCTGCAGGGTTCATGATTTTCTTCTCCATCCTTGGTCAGTTTCAAATGGCAATCTCTCTTTTTTATTGTCTCTCTGTCTCTCTCTCTTTCACACACACACACACACACACACACTTATGTTTACAACTTTTCATGCATTCTTGATCAGGAAAATTTGGAGCTGTGTTCGCATCAATTCCACCACCAATTATTGCAGCTTTATATTGTCTTTTCTTTGCATATGTGGGTAAGTCCTGTATGAATCAAGCCACAGTATTGCTGTTCCATTGAAGATTTTCATAATTCTAGATTTTTCCTAATTACATGTTCAGGTTCAGCGGGTCTAGGCTTGCTTCAATTCTGTAATTTAAACAGCTTCAGAATAAAGTTTATACTAGGTTTCTCTATTTTCATGGGCTTGTCCATACCACAGTACTTCAACGAGTACACAGCAGTTAATGGTTATGGTCCAGTTCACACTGGAGCGAGATGGGTAACTTCTTTTCCTTTTATCCTTCTTACAACTCAATTTTCATGGCTGATTCTTTTTAACCTTTAAATCTCTTTTTGCGCAGTTCAATGACATGTTAAACGTGCCTTTCTCATCTGAAGCATTTGTTGCTGGTTTATTGGCGATGTTTCTTGATGTCACATTGCATGGGAAAGACAATACCTCTAGGAAGGATCGTGGCATGCACTGGTGGGACAGGTTCCGATCATACAAAACTGATACAAGAAGTGAGGAGTTCTATTCCTTGCCATTCAATCTCAACAAGTTCTTTCCATCTGTGTGAGATCTTGGACATAATAGTTTTGAAATGATGCTGGAGTCATGCTCCCCCAATACCCCAGTGTGGTTCTCACATTAGAACACAGATCTTGTCCATTTTCACTACTTTTTTAACTCTTATGAAAAACACACGCATGCGGTGCAAACAAATATGTTCATTGAGTTCTTATAGTTATCACCTTAAATCCCAAAATGCTGAATGGTATTTGATTATACATGAGAGCAGATTATTTAGGACCATCCCGTTTCTTATATATGATAATAGTGTATTTCCCACATGTCCTGTGCGTGTGTACATGTGCCTGTGTACGAATAATAGCTTTCCTTATTGCTTGTTCGTGCTGTCTTACATTGACGCATGTCTACACTCTACGGTACTGTTGCTTGGTGTCTTGACAAAGCCAGAAAAGTGGAAATAATATTTGGTCCTGAAGAAAATTAGGCAATCATCGATTCATCGAGTCCATGCTTGCATGCCCGACCATCATTTTTTATTTTTGGCATAAGTGAAAGATAAACCTATCTCTCAACTAATTGTTCCACCCTTTAGATTCTGGATAAATAAATTTATATAAAAATTTTAAGTGAAATTTTTAAAGTTTTTTTTTTATAAATAATTTAATAAAAATTTTGATAAAAAATTCAAACTAAGAGATGGTTTAAGAGCTTTGTCTTAAGTATTTCCCTTAGATTCTTGCATTTACATGTTAGGAGATTTTGTTGGAAAATTCTTAACTAATAAGTTACGTGATTTGTAAGCTATAGTTACTTTTGTTAAGAAGATACGGTTATTTACTAATAATTACTAATAAAAAATCTAAAATTGCATTTTTACACATTTTTTGAAAAAAAAAAAGGAATATTAGAAACAAAAAACAGAGAAGGTGAAAGATGAGATTATCATCAACAAACTTGATCACGTTCTTTGATCTCTACTTCATGCTCCTAACTCCGATTTATTAAGGCTGAAAATATTTTTCTCAAACTAGATTTTGCTACACTAACATATATGATCATCGAAATTTAGCTTTAACAATGGTGAGAAGAGGGGAAGGATGATAAAAGAGAAAAAAAAAAAAAAAAAGGAAAACTGGAAAAGAAGAAACAAATAAAGAAATAGATTGGAAAAAAAAATTGAAAATGGATAAACTTGGAAGGAAAATTGATATCTTTTTTCTTTTCCCATTAAAAAATTAAGGGTAAACCAAAGCTTAAAATGAGTTCAAAATGTAAGATGCCCAGTTAGGTTTAATGGAAGATGAGAGTCCTGTCATCCCAGTGGCTACATGGTAGGACCGAACTTATCTGGTTATTTCGGCCAAGCATTGTCTACATTAATTTGATGATTACTTGTAAATTGTACTGTTTCATTAGTAAGGCACTAAAATTTTTCCAACACTCTTTTGAGCTGGTTGACATGTTGTACCAACTTTGACCAATGCAATAACCTTGGCTTTAAAACTTTTATATATTTATAAGAAAATATTCAATTTACACTGGAGTTGTGACTTCTGTTTTAAAGATAAATGCTTATATATTTTTTATTTTCTCAAGGTTAGCTAAAGAAGTTTTTTTTTTTTTTTTTTAATTAATAATTGTTATCTTTTTCAAAGGAGGATTAAAATCAATGGTTTAAAAATTTCATCCCCAATTGACCTTGCTGAAGTGTACTGAAAAAAAAAAAAAGCTAAAAGTATTTCTAATTTAACTCAAACTAGTTTCTATCAAAATGGAAATTAAACTGAATATGATTGATGATTTCCTGTTTTGTAATTAAAAATAAAAAATTAATAGTGAAATGCAAGAAGTGAAACAGGTAGCCAAAGATGGATGTCCAAAGGAAAAAAAGTGGAGTTCATTCTAGAAACGTGCTAATGAAGCCATTCCCTCTGAGAAATAGATAGATTAGCTAATAATAATAATAATGTTTTTACGTGTCTCAAAAAAATGGGGCAACCCTCATTTTTTGATTTGATACAATTAAGAACAAGAAGCTGACAAGCAGACCACCATGTATCGAGGTGTTAATTTCTACTTTCTCTTCAGTACTTTAAAGTCATGTCGTTGCCTACAACCAATCAATAATTCACATTCAAAATGTCTGTTACCTCTAATTTCACATGCATGCAAAGGAACAATTTCAATCATCAATCATGGAGAAAAGGAAATAAAAGTAATAATAAAGTGGAGATCTCTTTTTCATCATGCATGAATTTGGCTGGAAACGTCAATTGCATGTACAAATTTTTTGTTTGGGAAAAACAGAAAGTTAAGAGACAAAATGATGTTGCTGGTGATATGTTTAAACTTGTTATCAACAACAAAAGCAAACATGGTAATATTAAGTGACTGCCAAACATTTAGAACAAGTAAATTCTTAAATGGAATGAGAAACCCCTAATCTTTCCATTGTATTGAACCACTGATATATAATGTCACAATTATTGAATTGATGTCATTAATGTTGTAGAAATTTTGTGGTGTTTCACTTTCTGACAGCAGTTACAGTTCCTGCTTATGTGAAGACAGAACCAGCAGCGCTCCTAGTAGATAAAGGCTTGAACCCTAGATTCTTCGGTAAGAAAACAAAGGCTGAGGCATAATGGGAGAGTAACTCTTTTAAGTTTTATTATTCAATAGCTATGCTTCGTAATCGTAGTCTTCCCTTTTATTGAATTTTTATATATAGCCCTAGATTAACTTAATATCAAAAAAATAATAAAAACTTGAAAAGATGGATCTATATTCATGTAAATATTTAATTTTATCTAAATTAATTTAAATTTATTTGATTTTTATATTTAATTTACATGTTCTTATTTGAGGTAATTTAAATGTTTAAATTAAATTTAGTTCGTGTGAACTTATTTTAAAATAAATTTTTCTATTATTTTATATAAATTAGAATCCAATCTAATTTAATTTCAACCAATCAATCATAGGGGTTGTTCAAAATCAAAATTTAGAACTTCAATTTTAAAAACTCAAATTTAATGGTGAAGGCTCAAACTTCAATTTTATACTCAAATTAAGCTTTTAAGCACAATATCGTTTTTATCTTTATTTTTATTTTCCAAAATTAATTGAATTAATTAAAATTTACAAAAATAAAAAAAAGGACAAAAAACAACAAAGAGCATAAAATGAGCAAGAGGACAATAGGTAGTGGTCGGCAAGCAATTGTCCAAACCACTTTCCTGCTATCAGTATTGCAGGGGCAACAGGCAGCCATAACAAGTTAAAATTCCCAATCTGCAGCAAACTTTTCTTAGTCTCTAGTTGTTAATAAAATAGACAAAAGGCAACACACGAAAAGCAGGGAGATTAAAAAAAAATTCATTGAGTGGGGGGAAAGAACACACTCAGAAGAATAAAGCAACAAAATTTTTTTTCTAAGTTCCAGCATCCTTTGGCCCTCTTTAAGCCTTCTAATGAACTCCTACACAAACCAAACCTGAAACCCACCGGCACCATCACCAAGCCCCTACATCATTACCAAAAAAAAAAAAAAAAACTACTCACCCACCAGAACCAAAACCCATTCCCATGGCCAATCAACTAGTAATCGAAGCCATCACCTTCACCACCTTCTGCAATAGTCGAATCTGAGAACCCTTCTCGTTGGCAACCACCAAATAGCCTCAGATTCAAAACTCCATTAACTAGTCACCTAATCCATGGGACCCACAATGCCACCCCCACTGTCAACATTGGGAAAGAGGCAAAAATTCTCCCAATTTTCATCACAACCCTCAACCACCCCCCAACCCGAGACCAACACCATCAATCATTCACCACCGTGAAACCTCTTCTCAACACCCACCACTATCACTTGGAAACCGAAAGCAAATATCCCAAAGCCACTCCCTAGAACCACCCATTGCCATCAACAATAAAAAAAAATTAAACACATCCCTTGGTAGGAAGAAGTAATGCCAAGCACATCCTGCGAAATAGAAACAAAAAAAGAGAAAGAGAGAGAAGTTAGTCTTATTTAAAAAAAAAGAAAAAAAATGGGAAGAAAAGAGATTCGATGAATAGGAAGAAGGTGGGAGCGTGAGGAATGGTGGCAGCAGTAATATTGGTGATCCATAACAACGATTTCTTTTGAGTGATCAAAATCGATGGAAGAGAAAACTAAGAACTGGAGAGGAACATATTTCAGTCTTGGCCAAATTAATAATTTAAAATAATTTTTTCATTTTAGGAGTATTCATGAAAATTATTATGAAGATGTTTTATTATCAAAGTTATTAATATATTTTTATTCAAAAAAAATAATTAGTAAAATCTTTTAATAGTTTACTAAAATTTACTTAAATACAGATCTTTTAATAATTTGGTGACAATTTCTTGTAATTTTTTTTTTAAAATATATAAAATCTTCTAATAATTTGATAAGACTTAATTTAAAATACAAATCCTCCAATAATTTGATAAGATCAAAACAAAATATTTTATTAATAATAAATTTTTTATATAAAAATTGATTTATAAAATTCTCCAATAATTTAATAAAATTCATAAAAAATTAAATTCATGAAAAATCATCCAATAGTTTGGTAGGATTTAAAATTTTATTTTAAAAATATATTTTTTATAAAATAAATAAATAAAATAAAATTCATAAAGGCAATTGTAAAAAAAATAAATTGGTCAGTTTAAAATAAGTAAAATAATAATTGAAGATATACTAATAATAATAATAGTAGGTAAAATAAAAGAAAATCTAAATAAATAAAAACAAAAATACAAAAAAAAAGAACCTATGATAGGGTCAGGTCTGAAGGCGGGCAGACATGCGAGTCACATGCGGGTCGAACGCAAGTTAAAGCTTTTTCAAAATGACGTTGTTTTGGATGAGTATAAAAGTCAAGGTTCTTTGTTTTTTTCTCATACTTGCCTTAGTCCCTTTCTCTATAGCTAGAGTTTTTTTTTGGCTTCTCTCTAAACATTCAACAGAAAATTTAATCAACCAAGAACACTAGCTAAATTTCTCAAATTTTGACATCGAAAAATTCAACAGACTATTAGAATCTTCAAAATTTTTCAAAAATAGTGATGAATCCAGAGTACGACCTCTTCAAAATCCCTCCAACCACTATGCATTCAACCGAAAAACTTAAACTTTCGGTAAAAAATTCGTGTAAAACCCAAAAATATGAACTAAAAACCTAGAAATCTAAGTGTTCAAATGGGAAAACCCAAAAAATTTACCATTATTCTTAGAAACTTCTCATATTCCCAAAACCAATCCAAAACCTAAGTATTAAAATCTCTTAAAAACAAAACCAACTAAAAACTTCCAGAATCAAAACTAATTTCAAAACCTAATATCTCCTAGCTAAACAAAAAAACTTAGAAGATTTTAATTGTGCCTCCTGTCCCCAATTCCAAAAATTTCAGCAAAAAAAAACAAACTAAAAACCTACTTAGAAAAACTCATCCGAATCCTTTTTAAACTTTGAAACGAA